TCCAGACGAAGCTGTGCAGGAGCATATGTTCAGTCTTAAAATGCCTAGCAAATTACGGACCAGGAGCCATACTTTCAAAACTCGCTAAGTGAACGTAATTACTTACGCTCTATTTTCTTGTCTTTAATTGGTGTATTTTGCTTGAAAGGCCGTCAATGATTGGCTGATGAACTTACGATCTCTTAAGTTTTTTTGAAAGTATAGGCCCAGGCTATAAGTCCAGCAGATATCTCAATCAATCGTCAGTTATGGAAAGATCGGATTCAATATGAAAGGCCGGACCATTTGTGTATCAAGTTACGAAAAACTCAAGAATCGGCAACAGGCCATGGGCCTATTTCTTCAGGGCCGAAACTCCTATACTATTCTATTCTAATCTAGTGTCTGAAGCAGTGGGGGCATATGAGATGCACTTCCCGTTTAAAAGTCTCGCAGCCAAGTACCCCTCACTTGGGCTTAGTTTATATGGTTAGCAGGGGAAACTCTAAGCACCAGGTTCTGGTGTAATTATCTTGGACGCATGGCAAGCAACTAGCGCGGCCGCTCAAAATTACACCTAATAAAGCGAGCGTAAAGCGTGAAGCTTCCTTCCAACGCAGCGTCCGGTCGCTGAGACAAGCTCGCTCCTTTGAGGGAAAAATGTAATTGAAAAGAAATTTGATTTGTACGGGCGGGAAAAGTTGCTAAATTGCAGACAAAAGCAAAATTGGCGCCAGATAAGTAAATTTATTAGGAAATTTTTAAATGTTCTGCATCGGAGTGATATAGATGATTTATGTATTGCAAAATTTGACAGTTGTGTGATGTGTAATGGAAATCGCACATTATAATGTTGGAAGCGAGAAAGGCTTCCAACATTAAGGAGAAACCATTCCGGAATCGGTAAGGCGTTAAACAAATGGGACGGTAACATAACATTAATTTTAAGTTCCTGAAAAATATTTGTTAAATTTGTTACATCATGTATCTAAGTTTGACAATAACAACTAACAAATTAAATACGGTAAGAAAAGTTAGATGGGAGATCAGAAAAAGCAATTTATCAGTAGCCTGGTGTATAAGACTTCAGTTTATAGTATAATCTCATGTTTACGGCAGTAGCTTCAAGTTTACGGCAGTAGCCTCATGTTTACGGCAGAAGCCTCATGTTTACGGAAGTAACATCATGTTTACGGCAGTAGCCTCATGTTTACGACAGTAGCCTCGTGTTTACGTCAGTAGCCTCATGTTTACGGCAGTAGCCTCATGTTTACGGCAGTAGCCTCATGTTTACGGCAGTAGCCTCATGTTTACGGCAGTAGCCTCATGTTTACGGCAGAAGCCTTCAGTTTATGGCAGTAGCCTCATGTTTACGGCTGTAGTTGTTTACGGCAGTAGCCTCATGTTTACGGCAGTAGCCTCATGTTTACGGCAGTAATATAAGTATACGTGTTCCCATCAGGTCTTAGGATCCTGTAACTTGAGTTGAAAGTAATAGTTTGCGTGTTAATCAACCTGCTTTTCTTCATAACATAAAATAAATGTTGAATAATTGGTTAACTGTTGATGATTCGGTCACTCTGGGCATGGTGGTGGGCATGGTGGTGGGCATGGTGGTGGGCATGGTGGCGGGCATGGTAGTCATGAAGGCGGGCATAATGGCGAGCATGGTACTAATGATGGAGGGCATAGTGGCGGGCATGGTTATGGGCATGGTGGTGGGCATACTGGCGGGCATGGCGGCGGGCATGGAGGTGGGCATGGAGGTGGGCATGGTGGTGGGCATGGTGGCGGGCATGTCATTCAAACTTTCCATCAAACACATTCAAGCCGCACATCCAGTATCAATTAAACGGGTACCCAGACGGTCAATCACGCTCGTGACAATCGGCTGACGCAAGCTTTTAACATAACATAACATAACATAACATAACATAACATAACATAACATAACATAACATAACATAACATAACATAGTGATGTCGGCGCTGAAGCGTAGGCCTGATGTGGCCTGTCGCCGATTCTTTTACTTTTCGTGCCTTGTTCACAGAAGATCTAAACTCGTGTCATTTGACCGGATCAAACTATCAGACGATAGTTTGATAGTTTGATCAAGCCCTTGATCGTTTAGGGTTGAGGGGCACGATGAGCTCTATGGCCGCCAGTCGGTGTAAGGGGCAAGCAAGTGTCTGCAGCTCGCAGGGCGGGAAAACATCTACGGTTTTTCCTGTAACGCTCATTTATAATTAAATCTATATCGCCTTTTCTTTGACGCCCACTTATATCATTTATAATCTATCTCGCCTTTTCTTTGACGCTTACTTATAATCAATCTCGTCTATCCTGTGACGCTCACTTATAATCAACATCGCCTTTTTTTTGACGCTCATTTATAATCAATATCGCCTTTCTTTGACGCTCGTTTATAATCAATCTCGTCTTTTCTTTAACGCTCATTTATAATCAATTCCGTCTTTCCTGTGACGCTCGTTTATCGCAGTGAAAGATTTTGATCAAGTACTTCATATAGCAGTGTATTAAAAACTTGAAACCCTACCAGAAGCGTTGAAAATAGCAGTTAATACTATTTTCCAACATACCAGAGTCTTATAAACTGTTATTTCATACACTGATGTTGTGTTTAGTGTTCAGATAAAACGAGTGCCTTGAATGTTATTGAATTTGGAAGCGCAGCCGTTAGCCACAAATTCAACTCTTAAACCAGGTCTGGAGCCAAACGATCAGCGGAAGCAGGCATAGCAGCATCGGAACTGCGAAATCACACACCACGCTAGAATCACCGCATGCCACACCAGTTCCAAAACGGCTAAAAGCCATAGCGCCATGTCTGCATTATAGTATCAAGTCAGTATAGTCTTCATGGATTTTTAATATCCCTATACCTCCACTTTGCCTCCTCACTTTGCTGCAGCCAGTGATCAGCTCCAGCCAATTAATCTTATCCCATTTAAGATTAGCCAGCTTATTCACAATTACCCTAACAAAATTTAGAGTCGCCCCAGCTTCTGGTAATCCAAATCAGAAGCTGCCGCGTCTGTAAATTTTCACTGTGTATATCGTAAGCTGGCGCTTTGCAATGGTACCTTGTTTACCAGTGCTTCTATAGGCTTAAACTCAATTAAAAGTACCGTTAACATTAGTATGTATACGAGTAATTAGTTACTGGATGCGTTAGCCAACAATGTTAGAAAAATTACCGTTAACGTTATGACCGGCGTTTCAGTGGCCGGTGGGCACGTGAAAAGAAACACCGTGTCGCCGTTTTTATTCTAATTTAACACTAGAAATCCGTAAAACATCTGATAAAAACGGCGAAACAGTTTATTTTCACGGGTCAACCGGCCACTAGAACGCCAGTGGGACCGTTTTTTCTAACAGTGAAGAAACTGATAATTGCTAGCACTTCTTCTCTCGCTGTCGCATCTAACGTCATGAAGACGAAACGTTACTCGTGGTGTGACTGAGGGCCGCTACGCTACGATAGTCGTGTTTTCTGACTTAGAATTTTCTTTCGAATTACGCAACTGGGAATAGAAAGAAAGATTTGACAAGAAAGATTTGACATTTGACAAAGACCAAATTGGTCTTTTGTTTTAATTTCTATGCTTCATGGAACATTTCGATGAAAGTTATATAACATCATAAACGTTGATGTCAAGCACGGTAGTATTATTTTTCAATTCTTCATTTAATTTTTTTAATTTTTACACGGCGCTCTGATTCACTAAGTATTGCAAATAATAACTTGACTATCTAGCATTAGTATAAGAGGGCAAATTATAAAGGAGGCTGCAGTGAACTCCATTTTATGTTTTGATGAATTTAATACAAATGCAAAAAATATGCAAGAACCTCAGTCACAAACTTGGTCGAGGAGCTCAACAAAATCTGCCTGACCACAACGAGGAAATAAGTCATTATTTTAAAAATCGAGCGTTCTGAAGTCTCGCATTTTTATTGAATAAAACAAAAAACAAATGTGCCACAAAATGTCTAATGACCTTGCAATGCGCCGTGAAAATTGATACAGAAAGTTTAGTTTTTTTAATGGACTTGGCTTATTCATTAGCAATAACAACTAATACACATGCAGTAGCTTCTCTCGCGTGAAGAATTTCCGTAGCGAAATAAACCCATACAAAGTTTTTTAAAATAGACTTGGCTTATTCATGAACATTGAGCAGTAACAACTAACACACATGTAATAGCTTTTCTCGCGTGAAAAATTTCCATAGCGAAATAAACCCATACAAAGTTTTTTAAAATAGACTTGGCTTATTCATGAACATTGAGCAGTAAAAACTAACACACGTGCAATACCGTAGCTTTTCTCGCGTGAAGAATTTCCATAGCGAAAAAAAAAAAACGTACGAAGCTCTGCTGGTCGTTACGCACTTGTTAGCAACACGTACACAAGTGAATATTTTAATTGGTGTAGCCACTTGACCGTCACCGCTCGCAGACGTCGCGCAAGCCACAGGTCAAAGCTGCAACATTGAACCTTACGCTTTTGCTTGACTCGCGACTTGCAGATCAGAAAAAGATCTGTAGATTTAGTGAGATTCAAAGAAATATTAAGTGATATAAAGAAAAGATCGAGCTCGAGGCAGGGTCATTAACTTATTATGAAGGTCGCCACATACTCAGCCCATAGGTGACGGTCAAAGCCACAGGTCAAAGCTGCAACATTGAACCTAACGCCTTAGCTTGACTCGCGACTTGCAGATCAGAATAATCAGACCTAAAGATTTGGAATAGAATAGAAGTGTCGGCACTGAGGAAATAGGCCCATGGCCTGTTGCCGATTCTTGAATTTTTCGTGACTTGATTCACAAGGGTTCCAGCCTTTGGAACCCGGTCTTTCCATAGCTGACGATTGATTGAGACAGCTGCTGGACTTATTGCCTGGTTTGATGAGATTCAAAGAAATATTATATGATATACAGAAAAGATCGAGCTCGGTGCAGGTCATTATGAAGAGGCACCCCATAGAACGCACCTGTTTCAAGGAGTGGGCAACCGTGAGTCGGGGCATCAGGAGACATGAGGTCACCCCGATCCCAAGCAGGAGGTTGAAGGCGGAGGTCCAAGGGACCATCGCGCAAGAAAATAACAGCAGTGTCCGCTAAAATGTTCACACGACACAGCACTAGTGAGAGATGAGAGCACATGCAGCAACAACAGCTCACCACGCACCAACTCCTGTGGACCTCACACGACCACTTCTGTCCACGTACTGACTGACTGACTGCCNATTTATTTATATTAGATATGATACTATTATTTATTTATATTAGATATGATACTATTATTTATTTAGATTAGATATGATACTATTATTTATTTAGATTAGATATGATACTATTATTTATTTAGATTAGATATGATACTATTATTTATTTATATTAGATATGATACTATTATTAGTATTATATATTATCCTATTATTTATTTATAGTAGATATGATACTATTATTCGTATTAGATATGATACATTCGTCACAAGATACTCAACTCTCATTGACAGTATCATATTAGTCGCTTGGTATATTGAAATAATTCTGTTAATTAAAGGAATTATGATACGTTTAAAATCTCTTGAGTAGAAGTTACCAGTGATAAATTTCTTATAATCGGATATAAATTTTTATAAATATCGGATATATCGGAAATTTTATATCGGATATAAAATTTTAAAATTTATATAAAATTTGTAACTGCGCTGTACGAAAATAATACAATGATAAACAATAAATATTACAGTTATATATGGGCAATGAGGCATAATATACCGGACACAAATTACTCTAAGCATTCACGGCGACATAATATAGTTTTGATATGAACATCGAACCCGGTGGAAGTCTAGTAGCTACTTCAAACTATCGTCAGTCATGAAAAGATCCGGTCAAATGACATGATTTTAGATCTAAGTAATAATCTCACTTAATGTGAATTTTTAGATCTGATTTAGATCTAAGTAATAATGCCACTTAATTAGAATAAGTAACAATGTATAGTTTTCTTTGCTTTTAAGTTTTTACATTTTAGATCTTCTGTGAACAAGGCACGAAAAGGAAAAGAATCGGCGACAGGCCACATCAGGCCTACACTTCAGCGCCGAGTTCAATATGTTATGTTATGTTGTGTTATGTTATGTTATGTTATGTTATGTTATGTTATGTTATGTTATGTTATGTTATGTTATGTTATGTTATGTTATGTTATCTTATGTTATGTTATGTTATATTATGTTATGTTATGTTATGTTATGTTATGTTATGTTATGTTATGTTATGTTATGAAGTCTCATGAAGACATCGTAAGGCCAAGTAAGTTAGCGTCACTACAAAGAGTTTCTATGACACCGCGCGTGTCGCCCACAGGGCGGCGGTATACAAGAAGGCAACCGCGGCGACAGTGCTTATCGCAACACGAAGTTCTTTGTGTGCTCGCGACAATTGCACAATCGGCGACACATAACCCATGTTTAGTGTTCGAATGTTGAGATGAAGTTCTAAAGGTAGGTTCAGCTATTGAAGAGCTATAGACACTGGTAATTCAGAGGTAAGTTTAGTTATTAGTTACTGGTTATGGTTATGGTTAGTTATGGAAAGATCGGGTTCCAAAGGCCGGATTTCTTGTGAATCAAGTCACGAAAAGTACAAGAATCGGCAACAGGCCATGGGCCTATTTCTTCAGTGCCGACACTTCTATTATATTCTATGAACAAGAATCGGCAACAGGCCATGGGCCTATTTCTTCAGTGCCGACACTTCTATTTTATTCTCTTCAATAACATTTGCTTATGTGTAGAATAATTACATATAACATCTGTTTTACCACAAGCATGAAAAAGTGTTTTGGTTGCTCCAGCTGCACAGAAAATGCAAATGGTGTCTGCGGTTGCAAAGTAGTCGACGCACAGCAAATGTTCTAGTTTAATCACCAACATCAGGAACATAAAGTTTTAATAAACTTAATTGTATGCAGTTGCATAAACATTGAAAAATGTGAAGGCATTAGCGCAATCATACGAGCTAAAAATTTCCTTCCTCGAATAAATTTCAGAACCGTTAAAAATACCGTTAATTATTTTTCACATTTTTTCCAAGTTTAGGATAAAATTTTACTATTTAATGCATTTATTTGTTCTATCTGAAAATTACTCTACGTATCATAGCTTAACAGATGCCGTATATGCTGATAAAAAAATTCTTCTTGTATACATACAATTTTGAATTTTTCAAAGCAAAGCGAGTAAATTCAACACGTGATTTCCGACGAAGTGATCAATTCTAGGCAGTGATAAAACAATTAGCCTTGAAGCAAAGAAACAGCTACAAATTAAGTGCTTATAGTTCAGTCACCCATCTAAGTAATGTATTGGAATTCTATGACTCAAATTGAGCACAATCAACTTTGTACAAAGCCCCTAGCTGATAAGATACAAGCTAAGCTCTGAACGTAACTATATGTACATCACAGGACGAATTAGTTATATATTTTTCTCACATAGGAAAATGAATTAGAATAAAACCTTGATAATTTTGGAATTTTGGTACAGAGGCAGAATTATAAACATTGGTGCACGTGATATTACTGGATCAAATATGCCCGCGGATAAGTTCAGTATGATAGCCGACTCTCTAAAATTCAGGCAACTCTCAATTTAACACTCTTATTAATTGCATAAAAACTGTAGTGAGTTCAATTTGTGTGCCCTCGGATCAGACATAATTCAGTTTGAAATTATTTAGCAGGAGACATAGTGAAGCGGGGATTGTCAACATGTCAAATTAGACGATATGAAGTGTTGAACTCTTTTTTTTTACTGCGTTAAGAGGCCTATAGGAATTTCAAGAGAACACGTCTTCAGTTACGTACTGCTACATCGATAAGGAAATTGAGGGCGAGCACGATAAGCTTATCTTCATATGATTACACCTACAACATCTATAGGCTGGTGCAAGCCTTCTTCCAACTAATATTAGTTACGTATGTAAGAAACAATCTTTCGCTGTCAAAAACTGCATTGCCAATTTTTCCCCGTGCAACATGTACAATAGCAGAAATAAATTATTTTAGTGTGTATACTACAATTTTAGGGTCTCAGAGTAAATTAAAGTTCCCCAAATTCTTTCGACCTGCGTTAGTAGATTATTGCCGCAGGGTGGTCCAGTGGTTACAGTTCAGGGCCTTTACTTTCAAAAAAAAAATTAAGAGATCGTAAGTTCGTCAGCCAATCATTGACGGCCTTTCAAGCAAAATCCACCAATCATAGACAAGAAAATAGAGCGTAAGTACTTACGTTCACTTAGCGAGTTTTGAAAGTATGGCCCCAGAGTACCAAGATTGTCGCAGAGAGGCGCGGGTTCGATCCCAGCTCTGTGCGCCAGTTTCTGGTCAGAATCGGCGAGGAGGCCGGGCGGTTAAGTACAGCAGAATAATTTTAGCAGTGAGTTGCGAGTTCGAGACCGCAAAATGCTGTGAATGTTCTACGATGTTAAGAATCGGCGACAGGCCTACGGCCTAATAAACGCTGAAACCGCTATTTTTAGTCTCGAAATAGCGGAATCGTTGGCCGCGGCAAAATTGAACGTCTAACTTGGTCTGGCTCCATGGTTAGCCCAACACTTAGAATAGAATAGAAGTGTCGGCGTTGAAGAAATAGGCCTATGGCCTGTTGCCGATTCTTGAATTTTTCGTGACTTGATTCACAAGGGATCTGGCCTTTGGAACCCGATCTTTCCATAACTGACGATTGATTGAGATAGCTGCTGGACTTATTGCCTGGTCCGTAATTTGCTAGGCATTTTAAGACTGAAGATGATTCATAAAAATATTTTTCTAGGGAAATAGGCCCTGGGTGCAAGGCGAGCCTCAATAATCTAGAAGCTGCTGGACAACAATGTTCTTGGTGTGTGCTGTAGTACAGTCCACTACTTTACTTGGTCATTTTTGATTGCCGCTCATCGTAGATGAAATTATTAAAAAACGGAAAAAAAGAAAAGCAACGAAGGAAAATTCCTCTGAACGAATTTTGTTTTTCTTTTACGATGCTAAAAATATCATTTTTAAATTCCTGAGATGGTTTCATTAATTGATATCGCCGTTCCTCTTACAACTTATTTGTGGAGTGCCCTTATAAAAAAATATAACTCAGTACTCACTCATGGTTGAATTAATACATGTATTGATTCAACCATGGTACTCACTGCAGTGAGTGACAGAGAGCGCATTTTCTCGTCGACGAAAACGTGAAGTCACGGACAGACGGACAGACAGACGGACGAACATAACGATCACAATAGAATGGATTCCATGAATGAGAAAATGCGCTAAAAATGGTTGAAATGGGCATTAGAAAATATTTAATTGATTATTGACAATAACCTAAATTCCTGGGGACCTTCTCATTAATTACGACATTGTAAGTGAGACCTAATCTCATCTGCTGCTGAACTGCTCATCTGCCGGTAGTACAGGGGTAAGTTTGAAGCCTCTGAGCCTCTATTTACCTTCAATTATCATCATGTATATATCATTATATATACTAATTACCTTCAATTATGATCCTCTTTCAATAATATATTTCTGGAAGAAAAAGATTGAGTGTGGAAGAGCTTTTTTTTGCAGCTTGCAAGTGACGCTGACTTTCGCGTGAAAAAACTTTTACAGTGAAAAAATTTATTTGGTCAAAATTTAGAAGCGAAAGAATGACTTAAAAAGAAGTCTATGTTACCATCAATGATGGTCTTGCATTTAGATGAATTCTTTTAGATGTAGATCTTCTTCGAGTTAAAAATTAGAGCGATCTCAATTCTCGGCAGGAATGAAACATGCCCACGTACCGTCATGACAATTTGAGCCTAATCCGACTGGAAATAAATTATTTTGGCTTTACATAACATAACATAGTGATGTCGGCGCGGGAGTGTAGGCCTGATGTGGCCTGTCGCCGATTCTTTTCCTTTTCGTGCCTTGTTCACAGAAGATCTAATATCAACACATTTGCCCGGATCTTTTCATGACTGGCGATAGTTTGAAGTAGCTACTAGACTTCCACCGGGTTCGATAACGAGGCATTTCAAATCTGAACATATATTTTTCCATAGCTTTATCTAGTCTGTACTTGAACGCGTTCATACTTGGAGCGCATTATACTTCAAGTGCGATTTTAAGCAGAAAATTAAAACTCCCGACTTCGATACTTCCCCC